TCCCTGACCTCAGACCCAAAAGCCCACATGAGTTGAAGGACTTCCAGTATATTAACTGTTCCATGGAAGTGAGTTGAACTGAACCCTCTGTTCTGCTGTGTGGACTAATTAGCTGTTATATTCCTTCTTGCTGTATAAACCTATCCTCATATACATATATATGTATATATATGTATATATACACACACATATATATGTACATATATATATATGTAAAATCATAAGGGTCCTGGTTTCGTTTCTCTAGAAAACCCTGCCTAACACAGATCACACGCACACATGTAACAGTATAGATAAAGGTAAATTTAAACATATTGTTTCAAAATCACAAACTTTCATTAAGCAAAAACATCCAAATGTGAAGCTATTGTTTCTTGGTATATTCTCGAGGTAGGTCTGTACACATTTGAAATGATATTTCCATTTTTCTAACCCCTCTGAGGAATTCTGTGCTCATTGATTTATACCATGCCAAAATGACTTGGGCATCCGTAAGGAACCCAAATTACGTTCCCTTTAATTGCTTTTTGAGTGTTGGGGAAAAAAGGAAGTCTAAAGGGACAAGGTCAGGGCTATAGGATTAGTGGGGTTAGATTTGCCAAGAAGATTCTCATAGGACAGCCGTTATTACCATCAAAGAATGAGCAGGTGTATTGTTATGATGGGAAAAATTCCTCAGTACAACATTGCTAGTCTTTTTCCAGCCAATGTGGTTTTCAGTTTTCTTAAAATTTCTTCAAAATAAGCTCCTGTGTTTGCCCTGTGTCCTTTGAGAAAGATTTATCTAGATTACCACTTTGAAATCTCTCTCAGTCACTATAACCTTCTAAGCTGACCTTTATTCTTCAGTCCAGAAGTTCTCTATGAAAGCAACTTTGTGTTTCGTTTTAAAAGTTTCATTGACATAAGGTCCATCATACTTCCATGGTTCAGTTATATTAAAAAGATTTGTACCATCATTACCACAACCAGTTGCAGAACATGTTCTTGCCTCTTGTATTCATTATCAACTTCCAATTCCTGCCGCCTCCTCCCCACCACCCACTCCCATGAACCCAATAAGCCCCTAATCCAGTGCTATTGCTTCACCAATCCAGTCTATGTTTTCATGTACTGGAAAACATACCAAGAAAGCAAGAAAGAGAGAGAGAAAGCACAGAATTCATCAAGTGCTTCACATCCTTCTCACTCTTAGCAGGTAAGGTTGTGTCATCTGCATATCGGAGGTTGTTAATAACTCTTCCTCCAATCCTGATGCTATATTCTTCTTCATATAATTCAGCTTCTCTGATGGTTTGCTCAGCATACAAATTGAAGTGTACACCTTTCCTGATGTTAAAACATTCAGTATTCTCTTGCTCTGTTTGTACAACTGCCTCTTGATCCACATATAGGTTATATGCATGGGCACAATGAAGTGTCCTGGAAATTCCATTCTTCTCAAACTATCCATACCTTGTTATGATTCACACAACTGCATGCCTTGACATAATCAGTAAAATAGAAGTAAACATTTTCCTGGATCCGTCTGACACCACCAATGACATATTTCTTATTCCACATCCTCTTCTAAATCCAGCCTCACTCTCTGTCAATGTACTGCTACAACCATTGTTGGATGATCTTAAGCAAAATTTTACTTGTAAGTGAGAACAGTGATAATGTTCTGTAATTTGAGCATTCTGTTGGGTCATTTTTCTTTGGAATGGATACAAAAATGGATGTCTTCCAGTCAGTTAGCCAAGTAGCTGTCTTCTGAATTTCCTGGCATAGATGAGTAAGTGCTTCCAGTGCATCATCAGATTATTCCTATTCTTGAAACCTTGTTTTTTGTTAATGTTTTCAGGGCAGTTTGAACTTCTTTCTTTGGCGCCTTTGGCTCTTGTTCATATGCTACTTCCTGAAATGGTTGAATATCAACCAGTTCTTTTTGGTACAGTGACTCTGTGTATTCTTTCTATCTTTTTTTTTTTGATGCTTCCTGCATCAAGAATCTTTCAATATATACACTCTAGGCATGAATTTTTTCTTGAATTCTTTCAGTTTAAGAATTTAGCTGGACTCACTCTCTAATTCACTCACTCTCTCATTCACTCACTCTCACTCTCTCACTCACTCACTCACTCACTCTCATTCACTCTCGCACTTACTCTCTCATTCACTCACACTCACTCACTCACTCTCTAATTCACTCACTGACTCACTCTCACTCTCTAATTCACTCACTTTCATTAAAAAAAAAAAGAATTTAGTATTCTTCCTTTCTGGTTTTCTAACTTGAGGTCATTGCACATTTCATTATAATATTGTACTTTTCGAGCTGACCTCTGAAATTTTCTATTCAGCTCTTTGACTTCATCATTTTTCCCCATTTGCTAAGCTGCTCTATGATGAAGGGCAAGTTTCAGTCTCTTCAACATTCACTTTGATCTTCATTTTAATGACCTTTTGCTTTCTTCATGAGTGATGTTCTTGATGTTCTTCCACAACTCATCAGATCTTTGGTCATTAATGTTCAAGGCAACAAATCTGTTCTTAAGATGTTCTTGAAATTCAGGTGGGATAGACTCACTTTCATATTTTGGCTCTAGTACACTTGTTTTCATTTTCTTCAATTTTATCCTCAACTTACATATGAACAATTGATAATCTCTTTTTCAGTCAGGCCCTAGCCTGGATTTAGCTGTTGATAGTATGCTTCTCCATCGTCTCTTCCTACAGATTTAGTTAAATGTGATTTTTGTCTTTTCCATCTGGGGAAGTCCATCTCTACAGTCACTGTTTGGTTTGTTCAAAAAAGTTATTTGCGATGAACACGCCCTTGGTCTTGCAAAGTTCTGTCATGTGATCTCCAACTTGGTTTCTATTACCAAGACCATATTTTCCAACTACTGCCCCTTACTCTTTGTTTCCAACTTTTGCATTCTAATTGCCAGTGATTATCAATGCATCTTGAATGCATGTTTGATCAATTTCTGATTGAAGGTGTTGGTAGGATTGTTCAGTTTCTTCACCGCTAGCTTGTGGTTGGTACATAGATTTGAATAATATTTGTGTTGATTGGATTTCCTTGAATATGGATAGATATAACCGTATCACAGACAGCATTGTACTTCAAGATAGATCTTGAAATATCCTTTTTAGCAACGAATGCAATGCCATTCATCTTGATTATGCCATTTCTAGTATAGTAAACCATATGATTTTCTGATTCAGAATGACCCATACCAGTCCACTGCAGCTCACACATGCCCAAGATATCAATCTTTATGCATTCCATTTCATTTTTGATGACTTCCAATCTTCCTAGATTCGTAGTAAGTCCAAGTTCTGATGATTTTTATAGTTGTTTCGTCTTACCTTGAGCTGTGACCCAGCATCAGTAAAGATCCTGAAGGCTCAGTCACCTCCGAGTGCCTTCCCACCCCCGGGGCCCACCCTGCAGCACCATCTCCAACAGCGTTTTACTTCCTTTCATTAGGCCTTCAGCAGTTGACTGTATTTGCACAGTGTGCATAGGGTTTGCAGGGCTGCTTCCTCCAATTGGGCAGCCAATTTCTCCTTCATAATCTGTTCACAATCTGAAAACTCTGCTGAAACCTGTTCACTTTGGGTGACCCTGCTGACATTTAAAACACCAGTGACATAGTTTCCAGCATCACAGCTACACACAAGCCAGCGCAATAAGACAAACTGACAGATAAGACAAGTAGTGGTCAATTGTAAAAATAATAAACACACACCATATATATAAAATCAGCAGCTTGACAAGCAAAGATGATATACTGTGAGAACAGCTTGGGAGAATTTATAATATTCAGTCCATTTTTAGGGATTTGGAAAACCTGGCTTAAAAAAAAAGTCTGCCAAGTAGTTATTCTCAACACACAGTGAAGATTAACATAAGAAGCAGGCTTTCTGAAAAAGATGTCTCACTATTCAATAGTCAGGACATACCATACCATGGGATGGTGATGCCTGGGCCTTTGGGAGGGCCTCAGAGGGCCAGCTGGCCAGCAGATTAGGGGGTAGACATTACTTTCCCCTGGTTCTGTCTTCAGGCTGAAGTCTGTTCTGACAAATTGTCCCTGGCAGGAAATTGGGACACCCAGGGGGTTTAATGGTCTCATCTAACCTTTTCACAATCCCCAAGCAGATGGCTCAGAGTGTTTTCTTTGGCTCCCTTGTTGGACTTGAGAGCAAGTGTTCATTCTGAGATATTTCAGTCTATCCTTGAGATAGTTTGTTTATAAAGGATGATTTTTATGTAGTCCTAACTTGACACTAACTGAGCTATTTCAAGGATGTTTGTCCCTAAATGAATATTAATTCATGTGTTAAATATGGCTAACACAGCATAGGAAAAACCCAAAAAACTTAAATGTCATCATCTTACCTTGAGGTACAGTGGTCTGTATGCTTCATTTGGAATGTGACATAGTGTTGTTTCTCCAAGAAGGACTATCAAAATGCACCTTCATGTTCATGAACACGGGATATGTGCTGAAGATAAACTTGTGGGGTGTATGATGGAGGATGTATGTCCTTTGGGCTACATTTTTATGAGTGTGGGATTTGTGAAGCAGTTTGTATTGTTAATTGTTATTAAGTCACTCGGATTCATAATGACCCTGTGCACAGCAGGAGTCCATTGTTGTAGCCACTCTGTTCTAGAGAGCCCTTCAAGCCAAAGGGCTCCTTTCCCAGCACTAGCGCTCCAACATTTTGTTGAAAATCACAACGTTGTCGTTGGTTACATTTTCGAAGGGCTAACCAGGACTTTTCCCCGAATCTGTTGTATAGTAGATGCTCCACTGAAACCTTCCTATCAAGGATGCCCCGATGATACTTGAAATCTTGGCGGCATATTGAATGAAATATGTGTACTCCAGCATTACAGCAACACAAAGGTCACCACAAGACAATACGTTGACAAACAGGTTGTAAAAACTGTTTTTAGGGTCCTACTAATTGATGATACATTGCTTCTTTTTTTGCAGATTGGAAGCCTGGAAAATTACTACCATTTTTATCACAGCAAAACATTTAAAAGATCAATCTTGAGCAGCAGAGGACCCCATATCTTCCTGAGGATGGACCCACAGGTATAGATGATCACTTCTGGGAAGGGGGCTTCCCGAAGGGTTGGAGTGCTACTACTCTTTCTGGTTATGTGGTTCTAAAAGTGACTGCATCTGGATTTCAACATAACTATGTGACCAGCAGTTTTCCAAATCAACTTTGAATATTACCATGAATTTAAAAACTTGGACAGTAAATATAACTTTTTTTCCCTTGAAAATTCCTATGTTTTTTGAGGTGAAAATAAATGTAAATTGAAAAGAGGCTTACATTGTAAGTTCCAAAATAATTTACATTTAAACCAATTGCAGTTGAGTTGATTCTGATTCAAGGCAATCCCATGTGTGTTAAATTAAAACTGTCCTCCATAGATTTTTTCAATGGCTGATGTTTTTGAAGTGGCTAAGCCAGTTGTTTGGTGAACTTGAACTCCAACCTTTGGTTAGCAGCTGAGCACATGAACTGTTTCCCACCTTAGGACTCCAGTTCATATTTATCCAGCTGTTTAGAAAAGGAGCACTAGTGGCATAGTGGTTAAGTGCTGGGCGATAATCTGAAAGGTTGCAGTTCAAAACTGCAAGAAACTTTCCATTCCCATAAACAGTTACAGCTTTGGAAACTCACAGGAGTAGTTCTACCAGGTCCTATAGGATTGCTATGAATCCACATAGACTCAATGGCAGTGGTTTGTTGTTGTTTTTTAAGGGCTCGGGGGAATGGGGTGGTGGTGCATATTTGACCTCCTCTTTCTTCCCTGTTACCCTATTACATCAAGGCAGAGGTCAGACATCCTCCATCCTCCATCCTTCTTTATCTATTGTGACACTAATCCCCATGCTTCTCCCATGGCAGTCAGTACTCCTATGCTGAGTACCATAACTCAGTGTAATGGCCACACAGAACTCACAGATAATACTCACAATTAAGGAAGGTTTATTAGAAAATTAGCAGGATACACAAGGCAGGATCAGGAAATATCAAGTCATTGGTTTACAGGAACACCTCTCCTCTGCCAGTGGCCAAGTCTTTCTCTGGTCCTCAGACTCTCAGCCACTTGATCCCTTCGCTTTTGCCTCCATGGACCAGGAAGCTAACCTGCTGCTCTCCCTCACTGTTCTTTTATTTTGTCTCATGGTCTCCTTGCCTGGCTCCTCTACTTAACTTCCATGTCTCCATGTCACAGCCTTTGATGCTTCTGGTCTCAGCCTCTGCCACTTCAGACAGAGATCTTGAATATACTCCACTGGTGGCTCTTCTTCCACTGGTGCTGGGATGTATTTCTGAGATGGCTTTTATACACAGAGGAGTGGCTCTGAGGAAGGTGTGGTTCTGGTCTTTCAACAGACCATGCATACCCCGAATGAAACAAAGGGTGTTGACTTCGTTCACACCCTGCATTAAGGTGGATACTCAATACCTCTGACCTTAATCCTGTAACAGAGAACTCCCTCCAAAAATGGGACTATAACTACAGGTACAGAGGTATAATCTAAAATATGTCACAAAAGGAATTATGGCTAGAAGGGCCATATTAATTGACAATAATATTTCAATGGTTAATTACACTTCCTATCTGTATAGTTTTGAGATTAGTTTTTGATAAACATTGGTCAAAAGATACCTAGTAAGATTCAAAATCCAGAGAGCCTTTGATGAATTCATTCAGCAAGTGTCTTTGCAGTGTCTGCTATGTATCAGGCTCTGTTCCCAGCAATGATTGTGCTTATGGAGCTTCTGTTTTCATGGAATGAGCAGCACGGTAGACAGAAAATGAAACAATACATTGAACAATATGCAGTGTATCAGAGGGTTACTAGAACTACGAGAAGATGAGAAAAATAGTTTGTCACTGGGTACTGTACCATATTCTTTTGGGCATCACTCTTTAGGTTCAGATTTGAAGCACTTGGAGCTCATTTGTCTGAATGGGCTGTGTGACTAGATAGTCATAGCCTGCATATGTTGCTAAACTTGTTTTAGAGATGGTTAGATGGATGAATATCTGAGTAGATGAATGGATGGATATGTGTGTGTGTGTGTGTGTGTGTGTGTGTAGATGGATAAATAGATGATGAGTTGTGTGTGTGTGTATAGATGAATGAGTAGATAAATGAGTAGGCAAAATTTATATTTAAGATACAGATGAAGTATAATGAATAGAAATATTTAGATAAATATCACTAAAGGACTGCTAGATACTGTGAAATTGGGTACATTAACATGTTACCGTATATACTCGAGTATAAGCCAACCCGAATATCAGCCGAAGCACCTAATTTTACCGCAAAATCTACATAAAAATGTGCTGAAAAACTTGGCTTATACATGAGTATATACAGTAGCTCACCTAATGCGATGTGGTGCTGTAATTATGTCTACTTGCCTTCATACTGTGGAACTTGAAGGAATGTTTTAGCCAATGGATAAATACAGCCTTTCCTCTAGGAAGCAAAGCCAGGGTGTCAGTTGCTTATTCCCTAGGATGAATAGGGCACTTGGAGACTGCAAGTTAAGTTGATTGCATGTAACAAAAATAAAACAGATCAAGTCAGGGACTCAGGGAAGGGAGTATAAGACCCTGATCAAAAAGGAGGTAGAATCAGAATATTTCATCTGTGTTTTGTCTAGCAACCGCTCCTGTTTTTAAAGGTATGTAACTGATGACTCTTCCAAAATGTTTAAAAGCCTTCCGCCCTGTAGCATATGTTGCTGTTGTTGTTAGGAGCCATCAAGTCGGCTCTAATCTATAGTGACTACACGACAGCGTGAAACATTGCATCATCCTGCCTCATCCTCACAGATGTTCTTGTGCCTGAGCCCGCTGTGGCCTTTCAACTCGTTGAGGGGCCTTCTTTTTCGCCACCCTTCCACTTTAGCAAACATGGCGCCCTTCTCCAGGGACTGGTTTCTCCTGACAATATGTCCAAAGACAAAGTCTTGCCATCCTTGTCCCTAAGGATCACTGGCCTTACTTGTTCCAACACAGATCAGTTTGTGCTTTTTGAAACTCCTTGGTACTTTCAATATTCTCTTCCAGCACCACCATTCAAATAAAATATTCTTCTATGGTCTTCCTTATTCAATGTCTATGTTCGACTGGGTTGACTAGGGAGACAAATCCAGAGACACTCATATATGTCTAAGAGCTTTATATCAAAGAACAGTTGTATATGGAGAAAACATTTCAGGCCAGGCCAGTCCAGATTAAGTTCATAAGTCGGACATTAGCCAATATGTCCAATACTAGACCATAAATTCCTCTATAGAGTCGTGCAACAAATGCAATGATGCCAAATGCAGGAAATTCATAGGCCAGTGGGTGGAAAGTTCTTTGGATCCAATGGCAGTGGACGCATCTCCAAGGCTCTGGCTGCCATCATTTTGGCTTCATGTGGCTTGTCAACAGGAAGGTGAAGCAGAAAGTGTGTGTCTTGCCTCCAGGGAGAAAGAGAGGAAGTTCCCAGAATGCTCATGAGAAGGCCACTCCCAACAAGAGGCATCATCAGGCTGTGACCTGATTGACAGGCTAAACTCCACCCCTTCACTTTATTTATCAAGTTGACATGAAATTATGTAACTACCACAGTGTTCAACTTTCACGTGCACATGATGCAATAGAGAATACCATGGCTTGAGTCAGGCACACCGTAGTCTTCAAGGTAACATCCTAGCTCTTCAGTACTATGATGAGGTCTTGTGCAGCAGATTTACTTGATACAGTACATCTTTTGATCTCTCGACTACTGCTTCCATGAATACTGATAGTGGCTCCGAGTAAGACAAAATCCCTTACAACGTCAACCTTTGCTCCATTTATAATGTTACCTCTTGGTCCAGTTGTGAGAATTTCAGTCTTCCTTACATTGAATTGTAATCCATGCTGAAGACCACAATCCTTGATCTTCATCAGCCAGTGTTCCAAGTCTTCTTCACTTTATCAGCAAGCAAAGTTGTGTCATCTGCATACTTCTCGTTGTTAATAAGCTTTCCTCCAATCCTGATGCCACACTCTTTTTCATACAATCCAGCTTCTCTGATGATTTGCTCGGCATACAGATTGAACAAGTATGATGAGAGGACACACCCTTGATGCACACTTTTCCTGATTTTAAGCCATGCAATATTATCTTGTTCTGTTCCCACAACTGCCTCTTGATCCAGATACACGTTCCAGTTGAGCACAATGAAGTGTTCTGGAACTCCCATTCTTCTGAAGGTTATGCACAGTTTAGTATGGTCCGCACAGTTGAATGCCTTTCCACAGTCAGTGGAACACAAGTAACCATCTTTCTGGTAGTCTCTGCCTTCGTCCAAGATGCACCTGACATCAGCAATGATATCCCGTGTTCCATGCCCTCTTCTGAATCCAACCCAAACTTCTGGCAGTTTCCTGTCAATTTACTGCAACTATTGTTGGATGATCTTAAGCAAAATTTTATTTGTATGCTATAGCAATGATATCGTATCGTTTGAGCATTCTTTTGAGTCACCTTTCTTTGGAATGGACACAAATATGAATCTCTTCCAGTCAGTTAGCCAAGTAGCGTTCTTCCAAATTTCCTGGCATAGACAAGTGAGTGCTTCCAGTGCTTCTTTGGCTTATTGAAACATTTCAATTGGAATTCCATCAATTCCTGGAATCTCGTTTTTGGCTAATGCTTTCAGTGCAGTTTGAACTTCTTCTTTCAGCACCACTGATTCTTGCTCCTATGCTATCTCCTAAAATGGCGGAATGTTGACTAGTTCTTTTGGGTACAATGACTCGGTGTATTCTTTCCATCTTCTTTTGATGCTTCCTGCATCATTCAATATTTTGCCCAGAGAATCTTTCAATATTGCAACTTTAAGCTTGAAATTTTTCTTGAGTTCTTTCAGATATGCAAAGGGTGTTCTTCCCTTTTGGTTTTCTAAGACTAGATCCTTGGACATTTTGTTTTAATGTATGTTTTTGTCTTCTTGAGCTGCCCTTTGAACTTTCTATTCAATTCTTTGACTTCATCCTTTCTTCCATTTGCTTTAGCTA